TATATAGTATTTTGACTTAAGTTGCATTAAAAATTCAAGTAGGGGTTCGAATCCACCAGATGCTCTGCCGGGAAAAGGAGGAATAATCTCCTCCTGTACCAGTCAGATCCGATTTGACGGTACACTCACACAAAAATAAAAATAATAATTTTGAAAAAAAAAAAAAAAAAAATTCAAGTAGGCCATACAACAGGTTTGTGATTTTGAATACTCAATAATTTTTTTAAAAGATTAGGTTCAAGAATTGAAAATTTGAATAGAAATTTCAAAGTATTTTAAAAATTGATACAATATAAAGAAAAGTATTTATTAAATTATAGCATATGCAGTTTGTGGTTTTTGTTAAGTGTCAAGTTGATTAAGACTCATAGTGACTCTTAAGAATACATGTGATTCTTGCCCTGTCCTAAGCCATCCTCATGATCTCCAATATGGTCAAGCCTCGTCACTATGTCAATCTATATTTTTGAAGGTCTTTCTCATTTCTCTGACCTTTCATCTTTCCCAGAACAATGTCTTTTTCAAGGAATGGTTTCTTCTGACAACATATCCAAAGTATAGATATTTAAAAATAATTGTAAACTACTTTTAAATTATTTAAATTGTAATTAATTCTCAGTTTTGGAAAGTAAATTCATACTAGTAAATTGTTGAATTCATTATTAAAGTGAATAACTGAACACTTTTATAATTTATCTCTTAGTGTTCATAACTGTGCTATAAAAATTTTAGCATTATTTCAAAACTGAAAACAAAACTTGGAGACATTATCCAATTTAAATAAATTTGTATAATAAGTAAATGCTAAAGGTAAAGTTATTGTTGTTACTTGACATCAAGTTGTTGCAACTCATAGCAACCCCTATGTACAACAGCTCTGAATACTGCTATATCTTGAGCCAACCTCATTGACTCTAACACACGTACCTCCAGGTCACTAAGACAATCCATCTCATCTAAGTTCTTGCTCTCTTATGTATCTCTCTATCTTTTCAAGCATTATGTGTCTCTCCAAGGACTGGTGCCTCCTTGTAATATGCTCAAGGTATGTCAGACAGAGCTTTAGAATCCTTTCCTCCAAAGAGCAGCTTGGTTTCACCATCTCCAGAACAAACCTATTTGTTCTCCTAGCAGTCCAGGATATATTCAATACTCTTCCCCAGCACCACAACTCAAAGGCATCAATTCTACTTCTGTCAGACAAAAATTAAATTCCATTCCCCAAATCTCTGTACTGTATAATCTATAGTCAGTCACAATTTTTGTCTGTCTATATTTAATGAAAGTGAACAGATACAACAAATGACACTTATCCACTTTTTAAATTCTTTTAAAATACTTTTAAATATAATTTTATTTTCAATTATAACCACAATTATCATATATAATTTGCCTAAAAGTCAAGCTAATAAAAAAAGTATCAGTATTAAAAAGAGTAGAGACTTTCATTGCCTTTATATAGGACACTTACCTCCATTATTCACACAATATAACACAAACACTCAGAATTACTGGGATATAAAAATATTAGTAAAGGTCATCAGCTTAATCTGGTTAAGTTAGCATTCTTGAAACTATCTTCTTCCTTTCCTGTTGAAATGGATCATATTCTATTACTGATATTTCTCATTTTCTCCTTAGGAAATATATAGAGAGAAAGAATGAGAAAAGAGCAACGAACCAAGTCAGAATAAATATCAGAAGGTGTTTTCAAACTCTATGGCATGGTTTTTGCATATATTTTACTTGCACCAAATACTTACTCCTTAATCTGTTTGATCTACCACTTACTCAAGGGGATTAATTCAGGGATTAAAAATTGCCAGAAGAGGAATATATACAAAACACTAAGGAATATAAAGCAAAACACACATTAGTATAAAAATTGGAAAAAGAAACCGAACTTGGGGGACAGTGTCCAGTGAGACAGAGAACATAACTAACAAATAACAACAATAACAACATTTAAGTATCAAGTTTGTCTTTCTAATATTTCCCCTTAGGTGGACATTAGGAATTGAATATTTTATGTCTGAATCCAGATTGCCTCCTAATAAACCTGCCATTTTTCTGGTTTTGTTATTTTTAAAGCTATTAATCTAGTGCATTGTAATGAGCACATTCACTATTGTTATTGTGTTTCTTATGCCTTAAAAAATAAAATTTAGCCACTATATGTTGCTAGTACTTCATACACTTTTTATCATCATTCTACTACTGTTTTCAACAAAGGCAAATGGATTAAAAATTTTGTAGTACATATACCAAAAATAGCAATAGGAGTTAATGCTTACATAGCTACCTTAAAAATATACTTGTGTTTAAAGTAGATGTTATATATGCCATCGAGTCAGAACCGACTCATAGCTGAGGCTCCAGTGGGGTTTCAGAGGCAATAAATGGCGTGGAGGAGATTGCCCATCTTTCTACCTCTGAGCAGCTGGTGGACTTGAACTGTGTGCCTTTAGGTAGACAGCGCAGCTCCTTTTCTTACCACTGGGTCACCAGTGCTCCCCTTTAAATGAAATTAGTATCCATTAAAAAAATAAAAAAGAACAATGAAATTGTTCAGATTCTTTAATACTTATACTTTGTAGGTTCTTTCAAAGTTTTAATTAAATATAAAAATAAGTTTCAATTACATATAAAAATAGCACAAGTTTTTCTATTATTCTTAATTAGTTATATTACTGCCTAGTGTTGCCCAGTGGCATCTGGCAAGTTACTCAAATTATGCATTAATTTACATGTTTATCAAAGTGAGATAATCATGTCTAGTCTACCAAATAGTTATAGAGATTAAGAAAAGTATATGCAGAGATTTACAGAGTTGAGCTTATGGCACAGAATGAGAATTCTCTATAGGGAAGAGAAGAGCTATTGTTATTTGCATAGTTCTATTAGATTTTCAGATTACATAGAAATCATACTTCTTGTTATATGCTGTAGAGTCACCTGCAATTCACAGCAACCCTATGTACAGCAGCCTTAAACACTGATCTATCTTGTGCCAATCTCACTGTCTCTGGCACACCTACTACCCCATTACCTCAGTCACTGAATCAATCCATCTTCTTGAGGATCTTTCTCTCTTACGCTGTCCCTCCACACTCCCAAGAATAAAGTCCCTCTCCAAGGACTGGTCCTGCCTTGCAATAAGTCCAAAGTATATCAGAAGCAGCTCAGAATCCTTGCCTTCAAGGAGCAGCCTTGTCTCACCCTGCCTAGGAAGAACATGTTTGTTCTCTTAGCAATCCATGGTATAGTCAATACTCTTTTCCAGCACCACCGCTAAAAGGCATCAATTCTCCTATAATCCCTAGTCTTTGTCCAGCTTTCCTATGCATAGCAAGTAATTGCAAAGATTTTGTCCTGTACAAGGTGCACCTTAGTCTCCGGTCTGACATTGTTGCTCTTCAGTACTTAGGAGAGGTCTCCGACAGCTGACATTCTCAATATAATTTGTCTTTTAATTTCCTGGCTTTTGGTACAACAGTGTTGATTGTGAAGCCAAGCAAGCTAAAGTTGATAATAATCTCAATCTCTTCATCATCCATCATAATGCTGCCAATAGGCCCAGTGATGAGAATGTTTGTTTTCTTTATGTTAAGCTTCAATCCACATTGAATGCAGTACACTTTGACGTTCTGCAGCAAACATTTCAGGTCAGCCTCAGTTTCAGCAAGCAGGGTATAGCATCTGCTTAATGTTGTTTATGAGTTTTCCTCCAATCTTGATGCCACAGTTCTCCTCATAGAGCCCAGCATCTTGGATAATCAATTCTGCATATAGATTAAAAAGGTGCGGAGATAGGACAACACACCTGGCATATACCATTCCCAATTTTGAATCAAACAGTGCTCCCTTGCTTTGTTCTGATGACTATGTCATGGTCTAAGTATAGGTTTTGCATAAGCACAATCAAGTGTTCTGAGATCCCCATTCTTCTCAGAGTCAGCCACAGTTTGTTATGATCCACACAGTCAAAAACCTTTGCATAGTCAATGAAACACAGACACACATTCCTCTGATACTCTCTGCTTTCAGCCAAGATCCATCTGACACTAGCTATAATACACCTAGTTGTTGTATGTGCCACTGAGTCATCTGCGACTTATAGCAAGCCTATGTACAACAGCCCTAAACTCTGCCCTATTCTATGGCAATCTCACTATCTCCTACACACCTACCCCCATATACTTAGTAGCTGTCTAAATATTTATTTTGCTACTTATTTTTAAAAAAATTCACATATCAAGGAGATTATATAAAAACAGACATAACATATTTCTCCAGAATAACTAAGAAACAGAGTATGAATTTAAAATTACTTATAAGTCTGAAAATAATATGATTGTTCATTATATGAGTGGGAATAACTATATAGACACTATAGAGAGTGAGCAAAAATAGGATGTTTTGGTAGGATATTTATTTCTTTTCATGTAATTTCTAGAGAGATCTAGTGGTAAGAAGCTGTGCTGCCATTCCAAAGAAAAGTGGTTCAAATCCACCCGCTGCTCCATGGAAGAAAGATGAGGAATCTCCTTCTGTGTAATTAAACTACGTCTGAAATCCTGATGAGAGGTCAGCTATGAGTCAGTTCCAACTTAACTGTGTGCAATAACAATAGCAAAGAAGAAACATTTTAAGAAATAAATCACTAAAATTGTTTGCTATTTGCAGTTACTAAAATGAAAACAAGTTTTATCATTAAGAATAATAAAATGGATTATGTTCTAGTCACTGACTTTGTATTCACAAAAGTCAACTGACTTATGAGAGAAATTTACAGAAAGCTTTAAAGACACAATATATCTTTTAAAAGTTTTAAAAACCTCCAGATTAAAAAGCACTTAACAATGAAAGATTAAAAAGAAAACTTTAAGCATTAGAGATGGATAAGTGATAGATAAAAGATAGTGAAGATTAGAATGTTAGCATTTCATTAATTTTTTCTGAACTTTGATAATGACATTCACTCATGCTAATAAATACTTTCAATTATTTGCCAGAAATGGTATTTTATGGACTAAGTTTTTGAAGGCTTGTTTTACTTGTTGATTCCTCAGGGTGTAAATGAAGGGATTCAGCATGGGGGCTATAGAAGTATTGAGAATAGCTACTCCTTTGGTTAATGAGGCTCTTTCTTTTGCTGAAGGCTTGACATACATGAATATGCAGCTTCCATAAGATATGGAAATGACAATCATGTGAGAGGAACAAGTGGAGAAAGCCTTTTTCCTCTGACTAGCAGAAGGGATTCTCAGAATGGTGTTAATAATGCACAGATAGGAGAGAATCACTAATGCCAATGTGAATAGTAAAGTAACAAAAGCAAAATAAAAACCAATCATCTCTAAAAGCCAGGTATCTGTGCATGAGAGTTGTAAGATGGGGAAATAGTCACAAGAAAAATGATCAATAACATTGGAAGCACAGAAATCTAATTTGAGGACAAGCATGAGTGGGGGAAAAATGGTTAGAAAACCTCCTAACCATGAACAAAACACAAGCAAGGTGCAGACTTTCTTGTTCATGATGGTGGTATAATGAAGAGGCTTGCAGATGGCAACATAACGATCATAAGACATGGCGGTTAGAAGGAAGAATTCAGACACACCCATAAAGATGAAGAAGAATAATTGTGCTAGACAATTGTCATAAGAAATGGTCTTGACTTTAGTAATAATGGAGGCCAGAAATCTAGGGATGGACACAGTGGTGAATGTAATTTCTAAGAAGGAGAAATTCCTGAGAAAGTAGTACATAGGAGTCTTTAAAGTAGAGTCTACCAAGGTGAGGATGATGATGACCATGTTTCCTGTGATACTTAATAAATAAGTTAAAAGTAAAAAGGTGAAGATCACAACCTGAAGCTCCGGGTTGTCTGTTATGCCCAGAAGTATAAACTCTGTAATCACTGTGTGATTTCTCATATTGTTTTCTTTGGCAAAATCTGATGGAAAAAAACCCAAACATAAAGGATAAATGAATGAGTATTAAAGGAATTAAAGTTTTAAATATTAATATTCATACATCAAAACTCCTGAAGTGATGGATCTTTTTCCCATTCCATTCCCCCCCCCAATATTCACTCACTTCTAATAAGATGACAATACCTAATCACCACTATCATAACCACTGCCACTACTCACACAGTGCCTGCTGACAAAGACTTGACAGTGAACAAGGCTCAACCTGATTATGAATATGTAAATGGAGGATAGGGGGCATCTCATGAGTAATTAAGGACTGGGATGAGGACACTCACTACCTGTACCAAAGATGGGGGATATTCCTCAACTCTCCCATAACACCAATTTCACATATAAATTTATTTCTTTGGGGGAAAAAATGAGAAATAGGTGTTTCTAACTGACTCCTTTTTAAGAAGATTGCATGATTATAACCAAAACCCAAAACAACTGCCATAATTTATTTCTGACTTATGGAATCTTACATTGGATTGCCTAGCTGAAATCTTAGTGGGTGATAACGTCATCTTTCTTCCAAATTGCGATCAGGACTCCTACCACCAAATTTTCAGTTAACAGGTCAAGACAACACTAAGCCACCAAGTCTTGTTAAATTATTGTAGAAGATGAAGTTTTCTTTAGAATTTATAATAGAGAAAACAGAAATTTCAAAGTATAAGGCCAAGGATTTGTATCTGTTTCATTGCTCTCTCCTTAACAGCTAATCATTACTGGGACATAAGGATTCCTGGTAACACTATTGTCTAAGCATTGGGTTGCTATTCAAAAGTTCAGAACTCTGCAACTGTTCTGTGGGAGAAAGATGAATCAGTTGATGCTAATAAAGGTTTACCCCTCAGAAATGTGTAGAGTAGATTTCTTCAGGACCTTCTATACAGCTGTCACAAATCAGAATCAATTTGACAGCCATGGGTTGATATCCCTGGCACTGAGAACCCTGTGTATAAACTCTCAATGTTTGTAGTATTATTTTTTTACAACATGAACTGGTGATAGGGAACTCTGGTGATTTGATGAGTAGAAAAAGTGTGCTGCCAATCTCAAGGCAAACTATTTGAATCCACTAATCGCTGCAAGGGAGAAAGACAATATCCTGTGCAAGTTTCATTCTCTGAAAACCTGCTGAATGGTCAGCTAAGAGTTTGTTCTGACACAATGGCAATGAGTGAGTAAGTAAGTGGTGATAGAGCATTGATGAAGAGAATAAATAGAAAGATATTCTCGCTATCTAAACTCAAAGAGTCTTACTGAAGGGTAACTGATATATAGAATGCTAGTTGCCTTCCCTTCTTTCTTTATTGCTTTTTCAACTGACAAAATTATCTTTCCCGTAACAATATGCACATTTTACTAGGGGAGCTCTGGTAACCTAGTGGCAAGAAGCTGCACTGCAATCCCAGAGGCACACGGTTCAAATCCACCAGATGCTCTGCTGGAAAAGGAGGGACAATCTCCTCCTGTACCAGTCAGATCTGATTTGACAGTACACACACACACACAAAAAATAAAAACAATATGCGTGTTTCCTCCATTAACATAGCAGCAAAATCTGGCAGCTCAAAGAACAGAGACAACATTCCTGTATTTTTAACAATGACTGAAATCTTACAAAATTGTTGTTGTGTGCTATCAGGTAAGAATTGACCTTATAGCTGATAGCTGACCCCCCCAGTAGTTTTCAGAGGGAATTTGTCACACGGGAAGACATTGTCATCTTTCTGCCATGGAGCAGCTGGTGAATTCAAATTGTATCTTTGCATTGGCAGAGCAATTCTTTACCACTAAGTCACGAGAGCTTCCTTATTACAATAAATAAACATATGATTACTGATACTCTATATAGACATTAATTATATTGCCTATGTTAAAGGGATACTTTAGAAAATTTATTCCAACAAAATTAAACTATGGCTAAGAAAAGCATTTATTATAGGAAACATACTCACTTTTTTTAAGCTGTTGATGATCCTAGTTAGAACAGAATCTTGTATTTTCATTAATTAATTTTAAAATGAGATTTACTACATTTGTAATGTCTTTCAGGACACACTCCTTTTGTCATTTGGTCCACCCTTGCCTCTATTGTATGAGAGTCTCTAGAATAGAAAAAGCACAGGCTGAATTGCATGGAAGTTTCTTACCAGTCTCTACTATAAATAATAAAAAAAATTGTTCCTTTGTTTTCACATAAATATAAACTTTTATAATATAAATGCGATGTAAATTCAAGCATTATTTGTAGCATAAACTCCAATAAATTTATTTACCATAATCTTAAGAGCTCTACTGCTCTAAGTGACTAGATTATAAAAAGTTTGAAATTACTTATTATCTGAAGATAAAACAAATTTACCTTCTTTGGTCACTGAATAAATTCTCCAGAGATTAATATGAAAGAAGGAACAACAAAAGGAGAAAAAATTCAAAGACAAAAATGATATTATGACATAATTTCTGGATCTTTAAGTATAAACTGATATAAAAGTAAAAGCATATAATCAACTTATACCATCACAATCAACTTATACCATAAAACTAATCTTCCTTTGACTGTGAGGAACTTTCTTAATGTGCACATGGCACTTGTTCAAAATTTCCACACCCAAGAGATAATATACTCTCAATTCCTACAGGACTGGTTAAATCTAAGGCCAAACTACGCCACAGTGGACATTATTTTTAGAATGATACCTTTGTTCTATTCTTTTCTACTAGCACAATATAGAATGAATTAATATTAAATAAAAGAAGGCATGTCAGTGTCCTTGAAAATCATAATAGTGATTAAAACCAGGATTTGCTTTTCCTTTCTAAAATTTCTTTTTTATTTTCTTTTTCCTTTCTAAAATTTTAAACATGCTTAGCATTAGAAGAACAAAGTATCACAGTAGTGAAAGTGATATTTGAAATTATTCAGATTTCAAACAAATTCTCCATTTTCATTCTCCATTTTCACTTTGATAGGTGCCATCAAATCAATATGGACTCATAGTAATCCCGTAAAAACCAGATCTGAACACTCCCCTACCCCATGCCATCCTCGTATCAATCCATCTCATTCCAGGTCTTCTCTTTTGCCTACCCACCAACTTTCCTAGCATTAAGTCTTTCTTCAAGGAATAGCTTCCCTTAACAGCATGCTCAAAATATGTGAGGCAAAGCTTTGTCATATCTGTCACCAAGGAATACTCCAGCTATACTTTCTCTTTTGGAAGTCCATAGACTATTCAGTATTCTTCTACAATACCAAAACTCAAAGGCATCAATTCTTTTTTTTTATATTAAATTTTATTAGTTTTAATGAACATTTACAGAGATTTGGGGTTTTCATTCATTCATTGTTACACTGTTTTCTCCACCCTCATCCCCAGTTCGTTCCTCTTTCCCCCCCCAATGTCTGTTTTAGTTGTCCAGTTGCCACAGTGCTTGTCAAAGGCAGTTCTGATTAATCTCTTTTGTCAGTGTGTCCCTTGCCATTCCCTATCACTCCTCCCTGAGAGAGACTTCAACCTGATTCATAAGGAAAAGGGGATGGTATATTCTCTTAGCTACTTCCTGCTGAAAAAGGATGCGGGTTTCACGGTGAAGGTCTTCTCTCACTACTCTAAAGGGCCCCTTTGGCAGTAGGAAACACATAGAGATTGATTTTGGAATTTAGATGCACTGTTATCAATTGTGCTTGGCCGTACACGTTCATATCCTTGAAGATGTATCATGGAAGTGCTGCAGCCTAGAAGATACAAATTTAACTAACAAGTTAAAAGTGCATGAGTCAAAAATTGAAAAGCAATAATATTCTGAGTAGAGGTTCTAATACTG